TTGGCCTATAAATTACTCTGCTTACATGGTCTCCAAAGCAGCTCTTAATGGCTTCACTAGAATTTTGGCGAAGACATATCCCAATATTGCCATAAATGCAGTGTGTCCTGGATTTGTAAAAACAGAACTAAATTATAACACTGGGATATTGACTGTTGAAGAAGGTGCAAAAGGTCCTGTGAAGTTAGCTCTCATGCCTAATGGTGGCCCCTCGGGCCTTTTTTTTAGTGGCACGGAAGTATCAACCTTTTAATAGATGAAATGTGGTAAATTTTAGAATGATGGTTTAAATATCTATGTATCCATATGGCCATAGAGGAGAAATAAAGCTCAACGCCACTAGTTTTTATTTTTCATGTGCCTTAAAAGCTTAGTCGTCGTCAGTGTGTGTGTGTGTGTGTGCACGCATATAAAGCTGTTCCTATATGTATACATATGAGAATAAGAGCCATGATGCCAGCATATATCTTCCATATTTGGATAGTTAACATCTTCAATTTTTAATCCTTTATCTTGCTCTTACGGTGAGAGAAAGTAGTCATTAATCCAGTGTTCAACGTTTGTTTTGTTTAAAAAAATTCTTCTAATATAAATAGACAATGAAGAAAGCAGACTCTGATGACATCCTCCCTAGTTAGTCTTTGCCTCACACAATAAACTCAGACAGTAAAGGCATTATGAACAAAACTAACAAGTATTCTAAAAGATATTCAATTAAGAGAATGATAAAGATTCAGTTCTGACAAAACAGAAGGAGGGATTTATATTGACATTTGGTTCAAAATGTTTTTTTTTTTTGAATGCTTTGGACTTGCTGTCGTTGATGTTGATCCATTGGCAAAAACAGACGTTTAACTTCCCAAAAAAAAAAAAAAAAGCAGAGAAAACCGCTTCTACATGGTTTGGTCATGTACAGAGCTAGAATTTTCCAAGTGGAAGAAGGCTAACTAAGAGTTGGGCAAAAATGTATTAGAGGATTATTAATTACTATAAGGTTATAAGGTTAAGGGGCGACATTGAAAAGATACCAAACTAAAGATTGTCAACTATTAATTTTCAAAATTTATTATGTTTTATAAATACGAAAATATGGAAAGAGCAATGTTTTTTGGATCTTGTCGGTAGATTGACAATAATTGAAGACCTTTTAGGATGAACCACTTAAAAGCCTTAACTTTGCTAGTCAAATATGTTACTTAGAAGAACTCTTTCATCTGTTTGATGTTGGATGAGAGATTTCACTCGAAATACCTCAATTTTGCTAGTCAAATATGCCATATTAGAATAACTATTTCATCTTTTTCATGTTGGATGTGATTTCACTATTGTAATTTTTAACATATAAAGGACAGTTGAATAAATACAAATTGTAAAATAAAAAGTCACATATAAGTCGTGTTCTTGAATTTGTCCTTTTATTTTTAGTTATATATATCATTGTCTTTCAAATTAGGTCATCTTGAACGTAGGCAATATAGTGACCAATTTGACCTAGTAACCCTCAGCGTTAGCCCAATGTCAAGGGAAAATATTAAGTATAATGTTGAAATTACGCCATTATGTTTAAAAAACAAGAAGACATCACACCCTTATCATCAAGTAGTGTCAGTATCCAATAAGAAAAAAGACAAGTTAACGAGTGGATCTTACTAAAATCAATAGCCACCTTTTTATGTAATATGATAACTACCCTATGTAAAATAGTAAAATTCATATTGTTCATTTAATTATTTTTTATTAAATGATGGCTCCACTTAGATCTTGTGTAACTCGATGAGTAACACTCATCCAATAATGATTTCTAGAAGTAACTAATAGAGTGTTTTTAATTATTAATAATGGATATAAGTGGGGTGAACATAGTTATTATAATAATAGTTTGAAATAATAATATTTTTATTTAACTTAAAATTTAAATTTGAGACCTAATGAGTCAATCTCTTACTAAAATACTAATGTAATTCGATATTAATAATATAATGACTAAAATACTTAAAGTACTCAAATTAATTGATTATACTTTGACTAGGAAAAAAATTGTTAGTTTTACTTTTAAAAATGGTAAATGAACTTCCAAAATGGTATATATCTAAAAAATTATCAATTAAACACCCACCAATGCGAGTATATAGCGCCATTTTTAATAATTTTCCACTTAAACGATGTAACAATATACGTGACATTTGACCTTCAACATATAAACATCGTACACGTGGTTAGTAGATAATTACATCTATTCGAATTTTGTGTTATAGCCACGAGTCTAAAAGATGTAACGTTTGAGTGATTCTCCATCACCAAAAAACCTTAACTGTTAAAGTTTGTTATAGTTAATTCCTTCTCTTTTTTTTCAAATGATTTATCTTGAAAACAACTGTTTGAATGTATTTCAATTTATGTCTCATGAAAGAACTGAGGAGGAGCTAGGAGATGTTAATGGGCTTACAAAAGAGAAAGTGGACAAGTTGGTGAAGGTATATATAAAAGACGCAAAAGAGGGTTTGTTGGAAACTAAAGGGTGGCCTATGAATTTTCTTGCTTACATGGTCCCTAAAGTGGTTTTTAAAGCCTACACAAGGGTTTTGGCAAAGGCATATCTCAATATTAATATAAATGCAGTATATCCCGTATATGTGAAAATAGAACTAAATAATAATACTGGAATACTGATTGTTGAAGAAGGTACAGAAAGTCCTGTAATGGTGGCTCTTATGCCTCATGGTGGTCCTCCAGGCCTATTTTTCAGTCGCACGGAAGTATCAACCTTTTAACATACGAAATGGGGTAGAATTTGGAATGAGGGTTTAAGTATATGTGTCTATATGGCCCTAGAGGATAAATAAAGCTCAACTACTACTTGTTTTTATTTTTCATGTGCCTTAAAAGCTCCTTATGTATGAATGTATACGTGTTTGTGTGTATGTATGTATGTGTGCATATAAAGTTGTTCCTATATGTATACATGTGAGAGNCATGTGCCTTAAAAGCTCCTTATGTATGAATGTATACGTGTTTGTGTGTATGTATGTGTGTATATAAAGTTGTTCCTATATGTATACATGTGAGAATGAAACTCATGATGTCAGCATATATCTTCCAGATTTGCATAGTCAACATCTTCAATTTTTTATCCTTGATCTATGTATATTTTGTTTATTTTTTTGAATATCTTCAATTTGGCCCACCCTAATGACTTAAAAAAATAAAATTGGGTTCAATCTTTGGCCAATCATGGAGAGGATGACAAATTTGTTGGGTACTTGGAATAAAAAGAGAATGTAGGTCATAACAAATCTCTTGGAATCAACCAAAAAAAGGGAAAGTTGAGTAAAAACACCCTTGGCCCACTCCATTGTTATTTTCAATAACATTAATAATGAAGTTGTCATGAACAATTTCAAAATATGAAGATTCATCGAGGAAAATTGTTTTTTTTTTTTTTGCTCGACATCGAGGTCAATTGTAAATGNTTCATCGAGGAAAATTGTTTTTTTTTTTTTGCTTGACATCGAGGTCAATTGTAAATGGCTATAATTAGCCTCATTTTTTGTAAAGAGTTATAATTAACTTATTTTTTGTTATTTTTTGTTATATATACTATTTATACTGACTTTTGGTCTTTTATGGTTAATGAATCTTTAAGTATTAAATATGATACAAAAAATATAAATGTATCACATTATTTTTATCTATTAGAGAATAAAGTAAAACTTGTGATTAAGTTTGTCCACCCTAGAATATATTTCTAATTCCGCCACTGATAAGGGGCGATATTGAAAAGATACCAAACTAAAGATGGTCAACTATTAATTTTCTGTAATTAACACAAAACCTAAAGATCCAAAGGAAAATTATAAAAAAAAAAACTGAGGAACAGGAGGGGGGCATAGCTTGGTCAGCTTAACATAAGAGAAAATAAACCAGATAAAGCAGTTGTTTATGAGGGGATTTCAAAGAAAATAAGTTGCAGGCTAATGGTTTGGTTACAATATCTGCTTGTAAGGTTTCAAAAGCTACCTTTAGTGCTTATACATTTTGAATATAAAATAAAATGATCAAGAAACAGAAAGAATAACAAACACAAAAATAAGTTTGCACCATCAACATAATTATAAGTTATAACCTAGGGATTCTTAGGGTAAAAATGTCTTTTGTCAAAACATACCCCAAACGTTCTATTTAAACCCACCAAATAGGTGGGTTTATTTAAGAAGGTTTATGTGGTTATCAATGTACTATTCATTTGGGCTAATACCGACCCAAAGTGTTTATCTAAACATGGGAGAAAAGGAGATAAGGGGAGTCTAGACATATTTTTTTCAATGCTCCTTAATACTCAAAGCATACACATTCTCAATTTATTGAAAGTGTTATAATGTGACAATTCTGTTAAAAACTGTTATTCATTTCATCAATGTCAATGAGGTTTTCTGCATATGGAATAAGTGATGGAAGTTAACGGAAGGGTCATATTGCNGAGCGCGAAGAGAGAGCTTTCGCAAAGGTTAGCGAAGAAGCAAATTTCCTCCCATCCATCCCCCATCTTGCTCTAGAAGAGAGATGAAAGGAAAGGGAAAAGATAGTGAGAGACTAATGGTGCTCGGGATGCACCGTGGACTGAGATTGTAACTAAACCGACTCAAAGAACGAATACCTATGACTGAACTGGTCACTTGACTGCTAAACCGAGGATGTTGACTGTGTTGAAAGACTAGATCATCGCCCATACTTATCTTATTGGTTTTAACACTACTCTGCTATCAGAATAGGGAGATTGGTATTAAACCGAAACCCTAACCTGGACTGCTAACGGCTTCTTCTCTTGTTATAGGAAGCCCTGGTTCAAAGTCTTATTTATGTTACATGTAGTCACTCTTCTTGTTCCATCCTTTAATCCGCTCTCAAGAACGACGAGAGAGTGACTAAGCCGAAAAGGTGGAGCGAGAACTGGTAACCCGGCTCGGTTCATCGATGACCTCAAAACCAGTAGCAACCCTAGCTTAGCGCTTAGCCTCTTTCTGAGCGTTGTGCTCTATCTCCTCTGTTCCCTACAGCACCATTGCTTGAGTGCTCTANTATAAGTTATAACCTAGGGATTCTTAGGGTAAAAATGTCTTTTGTCAAAACATACCCTAAGCGTTCTATTTAAACCCACCAAATAGGTGGGTTTATTTAAGAAGGTTTATGTGGTTATCAATGTACTATTCATCTGGGCTAAGACCGACCCAAAGTGTTTATCTAAACATGGGAGAAAAGGAGATAAGGGGAGTCTAGACATATTTTTTTCAATGCTCCTTAATACTCAAAGCATACACATTCTCAATTTATTGAAAGTGTTATAATGTGACAATTCTGTTAAAAACTGTTATTCATTTCATCAATGTCAATGAGGTTTTCTGCATATGGAATAAGTGATGGAAGTTAACGGAAGGGTCATATTGCAATACTTTTAATACATTAAAGATACAATATGAAAATTTTAATTTTTGATGGTATGAAATAAGAATTCTTAAATTTTTAGGTACAAAGTGCGATTCCCTCATCGTAAAAAGTTAAGGTAGCACACTAGCATTGCTAAACCGAGGATGTTGACTGTGTTGAAAGACTAGATCATCGCCCATACTTATCTTATTGGTTTTAACACTACTCTGCTATCAGAATAGGGAGATTGGTATTAAACCGAAACCCTAACCTGGACTGCTAACGGCTTCTTCTCTTGTTATAGGAAGCCCTGGTTCAAAGTCTTATTTATGTTACACGTAGTCACTCTTCTTGTTCCATCCTTTAATCCGCTCTCAGGAACGACGAGAGAGTGACTAAGCCGAAAAGGTGGAGCGAGAACTGGTAACCCGGCTCGGTTCATCGATGACCTCAAAACCAGTAGCAACCCTAGCTTAGCGCTTAGCCTCTTTCTGAGCGCTGTGCTCTATCTCCTCTGTTCCCTACAGCACCCTTGCTTGAGTGCTCTGCGCGCTATTGCTTACTTATATAGCTAGCTTCTTTGTTTTTTTTTTAAGTATCTCCTTACTAGCTTGTTTGAGTAACCCAGGAACTCTCCCTTAGGGTGCATTCCTGGTGAGTAAGCCGAGTCCTTCTTGCTTGAAAGGAAAGGACTTATACCATGAACGGACTCCTTGCCTTGGTCTGTGCCCTATCAGCAGCTTAAGCTTCATCCCCTTTGTTTGGCCCGCTGAGAGAGAATTGGGCTAACCGTGTGGCCTTACCGAAGAAGTGGTTGACGACCCCCCTTCTCGATATATCAACTTGGGCAATTCATGAGAATTAGCAACTCGAAAAGTAAGTCCAGAAGGAAGTCCTGCTGGCTAACTAGAGAAAGTGGCGGAATACCAATCCACTCATCCCAAGGGGATACAGGGAAAGACGGAAGGAGAGACGTTTTGAACACCTGATATGCTTCCCACTGTCCAACCTTTCGGGTTCAGGCTTTTCCACCATACTCATTCCGATCTGCTTTGTTCGGCCATCTTCACTCCGTCTGATGGGTTCCCGAGGACAAGGTCTTCTGTATCGCATGGTCCTGACGCAGGCCTTAACGCCTTTCTCTCTCAGATTCAATAATGCGANAGAATTGGGCTAACCGTGTGGCCTTACCGAAGAAGTGGTTGACGACCCCCCTTCTCGATATATCAACTTGGGCAATTCATGAGAATTAGCAACTCGAAAAGTAAGTCTAGAAGGAAGTCCTGCAGGCTAACTAGAGAAAGTGANAAACATGGGAGAAAAGGAGATAAGGGGAGTCTAGACATATTTTTTTCAATGCTCCTTTCTTAATACCCAAAGCATACACATTCTCAATTTATTGAAAGTGTTATAAAGTAACAATTCTGTTAAAAACAATTATTCATTTCATCAATGTCAATGAGGTTTTCTGCATATGGAATAAGTGATGGAAGTTAACGGAATGGTCATATTGTNCATCCAAGTTTACTGGTCCTCCTTATTTATTCTTCCTAAGGCTGTCATCAAGCAAGTGAGCAGGCGATTAGAGCTTTCCCTTCGAACTTGCCCTTGACGCTTTGCCAACCACTGGCACTTTGAAACCGTAACCTCTTGTTGCTGGCTTTCTGGCAGGCTTGCCTGTTTGCGTGCTTGCCCTTCTTGCCGATAGCCCCACGCCTTTAGGCCTAGTACGNTAAATAAAGACCACAAAACCAACAATGGGGAGAAGAGACAATAAGTTACACGATCAAGCAATAAGGTTGAACAGCCCAAAAGACAAGCAGCATTTGTTTGATTTTATTTTTAATGTTGGCTTAGCTCAGAGGAAATTAAATACTAGAATCAAGAACATGCAGACAGCTTTGAAGGGAGAATCAAGAATTGATGAGATTTTTCTGAAATACTCCATGATGAAGACACGTGTCCTCGGTATTTACCAAAACACTGTTACTAAGATCAAGCACCATCGGCGCATAAAGGTCCTCGCCCCCGAGGTACTCGTCATATAGGATCATGGCATTCAGTACGAGTTACAACCAACACGTAGCCTCGGTCTGATATGGTACCTCGGTCGGTATACCTCCCTCGGTTCCGAGATGAGCCTTTCCTCGGTGCCGAGAGGTACCCCGTCCTGGACGCTTCCTCTACTCCAGGATAAGCTATTGACGTACAGGTCATTAGCCTAGGCTAGTCTAGGCTATTCATCATGACCTCGTCTTACACAATTAGTGTCAGAACGTACTGGAATGCAGGGGCCACAGCCAATGGGGGATGGACGCGTAGCGTATGATATCACATCGAAGACAGAGAAACANGAAGTCAATCCTCTTTGCCATCCAAGTTTACTGGTCCTCCTTATTTATTCTTCCTAAGGCTGTCATCAAGCAAGTTGAGCAGGCGCTTAGAGCTTTCCCTTCGAACTTGCCCTTGACGCTTTGCCAACCACTGGCACTTTGAAACCGTAACCTCTTGTTGCTGGCTTTCTGGCAGGCTTGCCTGTTTGCCTTCTTGCCGATAGCCCCACGCCTTTAGACCTAGTACGCACGACTTGCCTTTTCAATTTTTTCAATCGTTATTGAGTTAGATGCCCCACCAACAACCACCGAAATAGCAGCTTCTGCTTCAGTTGATGCTTCCGTTGATGATGCAGANATTGACAGCAATCATGAGCTTTTGAGGTATAAATACTCCTTGCAAAAGGCAAGACAGGTATGCAACAAAAAACTCTTTACTACAATACACACTAAGTGTTTTCTCCTTCCTCTCTCTTTCTCAAAGACTGACTAGACCGTCGGAGGGGATACGCCAGAAAATNAAGGTCAGTCTAAGGCTAACAACGGTAGGCATTTTCCGCTCACAAATAATTTGAAACGTGTTAGTGGCGTGCTTGCTTCACTTCAAAGTTATTAGGTTTTTGACTTCTTTCGTGCTCTTCGAGCTTCACCGGGCGTAGACTTTCATGTTGATTCCCCTTCTGCCTTACCACCTTACAAATCTCCTACCGCGGGTTCAGAAGCTCCTCCTGGTCCTCATCGCTCGGGTCAACTCCTCACGAACCTACCGGAACTAGACCAGCTCCTGGAAGTACGACAACTCTGATCTATGGCTTGAACTAGAAGCAAGCGAAAGAAGGAATTTTTCTAAGCCAAGCCGATCGCCTTACGCCTTGTATGTAGCTTTCTTTCCTTCCTCTCTCATTTACCTGACGTTACTTGTGTTTTTGCAACATCTTCAGTAAGTTCTGTGATGGTCGTAGATCAAAAGGCGCACCCTTATTAATTATAATAATAGGAATTGCCTCTTTCTATATGCCTACTAGTTCGGAGCCGCTTCTGCAAGGAAACGAACGTACCCAAGCTCGGAGGGAGGATGCTTTGGTTGCACCCCGGAAAGGGCTACGAACTCCAATAAACAAATCAAGTGCAGGCAATCCGCTGCAAATCTAGGATAATAGGTAGCAAAGAGGATTTAGGAGATAGGTCTCGGTGAGAATGGAGTATCCCGGATCGAAGAAGCAAGCCAAAGTAAGAAAGCGAATAAAGCGGAGAGCAGAGCTCCGACTTGAGAGTCAACCAACTCAGCCTTCGTCACCTAGAGCCCTCAGCCTATGCTTCCTGAGTCAGCCTTCCTCTCCCGTTGGTCGCCCTTTCGATAAGTGGTCTTAAGAGACAGGTGATTCGTTGATCGAGACTATTCCACTGACGAGCCATGAGCTAAAGCAAAGGATACTTGATCCAGGGATGAGAACAGAACCCAAGGAAGGATGGCAAGACGAGACGAGTCAGGAAGCAGCGACTAGAAGCAAACAAAGAAAGAAAGAATCAAGCTAGGGAACACTCCAGATTTAGGCCTCCTTAAGGGCTTCTAAGGCTTAGTAAGTAGGCAGGTTCAACCCTTTCCNCCCAGGATGCAGAGCGACCCCTCCACCCGTGATCAAAAGGTTAGGTGTTCCTATCACCGGGATTTCGGACATCGCACCGAAAGCTGCAGGGTGTTCAAATTGTTCTTGGAAAGATTGGTCCGAGATGGATATTTAAAAGAGTACATAGAGCCCAGGCCAGAAGAGAGACAAGCCCTTGCCCCGACCGAGGAGCCGGACAACATCATAGATGTCATCCATATATGTCCCCTGGATCGCCCCACATCCAAAGAACTCGAGTCCAACCTCAAGAGGGTAGCTTTTACGAGGAAGATAGCCGAGGTTGATGTAAGGCCACCTAGTAAAAGGGCCAGGACGGGTGAGCTTGGCATTACATTCTC